GGTCCAGGGCAAATTGCTGACACGAACTCATGAGCAAATAAAATGTGGTTGTTTTAAGCCACTGTGTTTTGGGATGATTTATTATGTAGTAATAGTTGAGTAGAACAGTCAGCCATGATTTAAAAAGAATTCCTGAGGTAAGAGAACACAGTCTACCTGGAAAATGGGCAAGGCAAGTCACAAAATAAGAAACACAAAGGTTGTTGACTTGAATCAGAGCTGGAGGAGTCTTGTTCATGAACTGGAACAAGAACTCCAGCCTGCCTGGGTCTGAATCCTGGCTCTGCCCATCATGGTTGTATGACCTTGGGTAAGTTATTCAAATATCTGCTGGTCTCAATTTCCTCATCTGTGAAATGAGGATATATATACTATCTCCTAGGGTCACTGTAAAGAAACTTAGTTGCATTAAGTACAAATAAATGTTGCTTTTGCTTTTACTGCTATTCATAGCTCAGATCAACTCTTGACTGAAGCAGTGAGTACAAGATACTGAATAGTTTTATTGAAGGCAAGTAGATAGATGAGGGGGGTTAGGAGTTGAGAACAAAAACATTTAGCTACATTTCAGAGTTTGGCTTGCTTCAATGTTATTGCAAAAAATGATTGGTTTGATGATTTCAAATACTTTCTTAAATCACATTGTTTGAAGGAATTCTAGCTTTACTATGTAAAATCTATAAAAATTCATGATTCTGAACCTGTGCTTTAGTAAAGAGAAGCACTCATTTGAATTTCCCTGGTGGTTCAGATGGTAAAGAATCTGCTTGCAATGAGGGAGACCTGGGTTTGATCCCTGGGTCAGGAAGATCTCCTGGAGAAGGGAATGGTCACCCACTCCAATATTCTTGCCTGGAGAATTCCACGGACAGAGGAGCCTGGTGGGCTCTAGTCGACATGGTTGCAGAGTCAGACATGACTGAGTGACTGCTGGTGCTGCTGCTAAGTCGCTTCAGTCGTGTCCGACTCTGTGCGACCCTATGGACAGCAGCCCACCAGGCTCCCCTGGCCCTGGGATTCTCCCGGCAAGAACACCGGAGTGGGTTGCCATTTCCTTCTCCAATGCATGCATGCATGCTAAGTTGCTTCAGTCGTGTCCGACTCTGTGCGACCCTATGGACAGCAGCCCTCCAGGCTCCTCTGTCCACGGCATTCTCCAGGCAAGAATACTGGATGGACTGAGTGACTAACACATGTTAAAGGGATACAGTCATTATTATCATTGCCTGTGGTTCTATACTGTGGGATAGTCTGTCTTCCAGGCTGCTTTTGATTATATATAATTGTTTTATTACTATTTATCAATTAAAGACATATGAAAGAGCTAATCTGAGTATCTGATCAACATGAGACAAGAAGAGATAAGATTTCATTCAAAAAAGTGAAAAAATTGATTTTTCTGTGCATTTTTATATAGCTGTTACAACTGTAAAATTTCATATATTTTAAAATACTGAAAACAGTATAAAGACTAACATTCTTATATATTATTATTATTATAAGCCACATAACCAGTAGAAACAGCATTATGCTACTGCCTCATAAGAGCATACCTAAGGGTACAGAGACAGTCACAAAGGCAAAAATATATCTCCTAGTATGCTGAAACTCTGGAGGAGGGCATGGCAACCCACTCCAGTATTTTTGCCTGGAGAATCCCATGGACAGAAGAGCCTGGCGGGCTACAGTCCATGGGGTTGCAAAGAGTTGGACATGACTGAAGTGACTTAGCACAGCATAGCATGTTGAAAATACCAAAAAAAAAAAAAAACCCACATGGTTAGTCATGTTTATGTGTGTGTGTGTGTGTGTGTGTGTGTGTATACATAATGCAGATAGATAGATATGTTCATATTTGACACAATAAGACTGTCAAGATGTGTCTGATAATGTAAATTGTTACCCTTTCTTTTGTAGCCAGCAATACTTTATCAAGAACTTGGTACACAAATATCCTTCAAAGATTTTTACACTCATGAGATAACAACAAATTAAGCAGCTTCTGGCTCTGCAACCTCAGGCCAAGTTACCTAACCTCAGTTCTTTCATTTGAAACAGGGACAACAATATTGCCTAACTCATGAGATTTTCGTGAGGATTTAAAAAGAAAACATACGAGAAGTGCTAAGAACAGTGTGTGACACATGAAAGACATTTGACGGATCTCAGCTACTATTGTTATTCTTACTTCTATTTGATGCCCTTGATATGTCAGATCTTAAACAAAGGTGCATCTCTGGTAAATGTTCCCAAATATTAAACTGGTAAGAACAGATACTACACTCGACCTTCAACAAATACATGGACACCAAGGGGGAAAAAGGAGGAGGGATGAATTGGGAGGTTGAGATGGACATATATCCATTACTCTGTATAAAATAAATAACTAAGGAGGGCCTGCTGGGCAGCATGGGGACTCTACTCAGCGTGCTGTGGTGGACTAAATAGGAAGGAAATCCCAAATGGAGGGGATGCATGTATACATGTAGCTGAGTCACTTCACTGTATAGCAGAAACTAACATGACATTGAAAACAACTAAAACACCCCAGTCTAAAAAGTAATAAATATTCCCCAATAAACTACTGTTTGGGTACGTAAAGCAACCATTGTGTCTTTCCGACTCCAACCTCATATTTTAGAATATTTTAAGCAGAGATAAAAATAATGTAACATAAAGACTGATGAACTTTGGATTGCAAAGAATGATTTTTAGCAGCTTAAGCTATCCCAGAGACAACACATTTAAGTTTAAATGCAGTTTAAGATGGGTTAAACATGACCAGTAAACAGAAAGAATACAGTACCCACAGTTTTGTTTTCAAATACACCTGCTACTAGTGAAGTCACATCCTGAACCCTGAAAACCACAGACTAATAAACGTTATTTTGCAGACCTCCTCACTTGGCCAAATACACTCTCTTCAGTTGAATCCTAATACTTTTGAGAGTCAGAGGGCCAAAGGAACAACTTTAATCAGGAAGAATATAAAACTTTTACAATAACAAACTACAAAAGAGAGTAAAATTATGAGCTAAACTGTTAAACTCATCAATCTGCCTGAGTAAGTTAATTGAGTGGACAGAATAACCAAACACGATTACAAGATAAGCTGACAGCTGATGGATTATCAGCTACCTGGGACTCAAGCTACTCCTAAGAGCCTTATGCTTTCTAGATCCCCCATTTCTTCTGCCCTGCTGGGATAGTTCTTCAGCCCCCGGCCCTTTGGAGAGTTTAATCCACTTCCCCTTTGCAGTTGCCACTTCCACCAGCTGCTTCTCTCATCACTTTAACATTCAAACGGGAAAGGCCAAGCCTAGGTTATTCTAATGATAGCAAACACCTCATAAAAAAATCTGCCAAATTTACTTTTCCATAGAACATCATTTTTATAGCTTTTCATGAGTCCATGAGGAAAGAAAGCATCATGTATAAAATATGACTTCCAGAATTCTTGAAGATATTAGGCATTGTTCCCAGTGTTACAGTGGGTGGGTGTACCACCATCTATAGAATGGGGTGTCTTCAATTTCCCCAAAGAGATCGGGTCAGGCTGTCACTGTACCTGTTTGCCCACAGGAGGAGAGGAGAGGACCTAACAAAATTAGGACATTTTCAGAAATGTCCCCAGGTTAAAAGAACTTTAGGCTCTGTGGTGCATTCTTTTTCATTCCTGGTTTTACATTCCTGTGTAAAGATCACCTTGCTTTAGTCTACAACATCCTGCCAGAGAGAGAACATGGTGTAACAAACCAAGAGTTTGGAATGTGTAAACTTTGCAAGTTTCTTAACCTCTGTACCTCGGTTTTTGCATCTATGCAGGGGGTGGTCGGGATATTAACAATATAGTACATCATTAAATTAGTTAAGTTCTGCAAAGAACTTAAAACTAGCACATGCAAAGCACTCTGGAAGTATTTAAGGGAATTCTCTCTACACTAGGGTTTTAAGGCAACACACTGCATAAAGATGTGAGGAAAGAATTAACAGTACAATGATCTTAAAACCCTTTGACAACAATGAATGATGCTTCTCTGGACATTGCAGAGTACAGGGTTTTTAGAGATGCTGCTTGAGTGAATTCCTGCTGCCTCCTGGGAAAATCCCTGCTGACATCTTTACCCATGCCCCAAGCTGACAGTTGTCAACACCTCTGACAGACCCACGGAAAGGTGTTTTCCAAGAGAGCGGCAGGAAATCCCTACCTGGGCAACCCTTTATTTGGAAACCGGAAAATCCATCCTGTGTCTGACGCCCGCTATTTCCCTCGCTAGTTGTGACCGCCCCCCCGCCCCCACGCCCCGTGCTGGAGCTGCACAGACCATCATAATTCCAGAATTCCACTCCTAAGGCGACCTTCAACAGCGGCAGAACGCTGGAAGAAGTCTTTTGCGGTCAGCTTTTAAAGCCCCAGGTAATGCCATCTCAGAGTAGAACAGGTGGCTTGACTCCGCGCCCTCCGCAGGCTAGGAAGGTACAAGGGTGGCTCGGGGACCACGTGGGCGACCAGGGATGCTTTCTTCGGGGAAATTATTTCTGACCTTTGGCACTGTTTTCTGAGCTGGCAGATTCAACCCGGTTCTTCCTCCCAGACCTCGTGTGGGGGTTTGTCCTAAGTTGAAGTCTCCTTCCGCTCCTCCCCCCGCCCCCGCCTCTCAGAATAACAGCACTTCGCCTCTGAAGGGCAACCAAAGACTGGGAGCGCCCCAAAGCCGACACATGCCCCACACTCCGCCGCCCGTCTCGCGCTCGCAGCCTCAGGTACCTGGGGACAGACCCGGAGGAGCGTGCCGCCGGACCTCCGAGGCGGTTCAGCCTCCAAGCACTCAGCCCGCTCCGCGCAGGCTGGAGACGGGTGGCCCCCGCCCAACCACTGCCCCCACAGCTGTTCTGTGATGGGGCGGGGACCCGCCTCCCCGCCCCTCTCAGGTGCGAGGTCAGCGCCCCGCCACCGGGTCCCGGCCGCCACGCGCGCCCCTGCCCGGCGGCGCACTCACCTGCAGCGGGGTCCGGCTGGCGTTGGCCGCGGCCGCGTCCGGCCGGTCGGCGGCTCCGGAACCGCGCAGCACCGTGATGTGCAGCGTGAGCAGCAGCAGCCCCAGCAGCAGCAGCAGCTCGGCCGCCAGGCGTAAGGAGGAGGAGGGCTTCAGCGGCGGCCCGCAGTTACCTCCACGCTTGGCTCCCCCGCCCTTGCCGCCCGTAGCCACTCACCCGACGAGCCACCTCCCCTCCTCCCCGCGCTCCTCCCGGCCGCGGGCCGCGCCGCCCCGCCGCAGAGTCCTCGGGAGAGCCGGCTCCAGACGGGGGCCCCGTGCACGGGGGCTGTCAGTGTTTGGAGGTGACCCGCGAGCCCCTCCGGAGTCCGCGTCCGCCTGCCGGGCTGCGCCGAGCGCGCGCCTCCGCTGCCGAGGTCGCTGCGGCCGGCGAGGTCAGAGCCCCGCGCGCGCCAAGGCTCGGGGCTGTGGGTGGGTGGGGGTGCCTGGGCGAGGTTGGAAACTTTTATTGACAAGTGGAGTTGGGAGATGTGGTGATGGAGAACCGAGAGGGCGCCGGCCCAGCCAGGTGTCTGCCGGCGACTGTGCGCCCCTCCCTGCAGCTGGCCTACGTACGAGGGGGAAGAGACGGGGTCGTTCCAGAAAGGTCTTGACACTCGCTCCCGGACAGTGGGCCGCCCGCTCTCCGAGCGCCGCTGCTCAGGCGCCCGCGGCGGTGGGTAGAGCCTGGGAAGGGAGGCGAGTCCGATTCGCCGGGCGTCCGTCTGGTCCAGCGCGCAGGTGTCTCGGCAAGAAGCGGCAGGGGTGAGGTGCCCGCGGCTCGGGCGCGCAGGGCGCAGGTGGGGCAATGGGGGCCAGTCTCAGCTCAGGCTGGCGCCGGTCGAGGGGCTCATCCCGGAGGCGCCGCGCCCGGAGGGGCCCTGGGGGCTGCCGTCGCCCAGTTGCCGCTCCCGGTCCAGCGTCTCATGACCGCGCTGAAACCTCGGGCTCCCGCGCGCCGCTCATGCCTCGCAGGGGACAGCCGGCCGGTGGAAGGGCTCGAGGGTCGAGCAGAGGGCGCGCGGTCCTCGCCTCGGATGCACGAGAGAGCCGGGTCCGGGGCTGGGCTCAGCTCACCGCAGCGGCGCCTCGCATCCTGCCCGGACGCCCGCCTTCTCCAAGGGGCTCGGAGTGGCGGGCGCCCGGTCTGGCCCGGGCCTTTTATACTCCTCCTCCGCCGCCTCCCCTCGGGTCCCTCCTTGCCTCCTCCCCTGTGCCCGCCCTGTCCTTTCCTCCCCGCGAGCGGAACCTTCAGCCTAGGCGTTCCCAAATTTCCCCAATTTCCAAGCGCACCTCGCATCCTGGATTCCAGTGTCCCGGCGGTGGAGCCTCTCGGTTCTACCCTGGGGACTGAAATTAAATAAACAAACAAACCTTTCTCTCCGACACGCCCCCTTCCCCCGCTTCCATCCTTACAAACTCAAGCAAGATTCTTAAATCAACTACCTTCTGAGAGTTCCTGTCTTTACGCAAGGCACCTCAGCCAAGCCTTACCCAAATTAAGACCAAAAGCACTTTTATCATTATGAAAGTTCACGGGGGTGGGGGTGTTGGTGTTCGCCCTGGCATTTTGCAGTATTTAAATAGCGGTGGTTAAAGTATAGTATTTGGTTGTTTAGTTGCTAAGTCGTGTCCGATTCTTTTGGAACTCCGTGGACTGTAGTCTGCCAGGTTCCTCTGTGCGTGAGACTGCCTAGGCTAAGCATACTGAACTGGGTTGCCATCTCCTTCTCCAGAGACTCTTCCCCACCCAGGGAGGGAATCCGTGTGTCTCCTGCATTGGCAGGCGGATTCTTTACCACTGAGCCACCGGGGAAGCCCAAAGTTTGGTGCACGGATTGGTTTTGTGTCAGGGCCAAGAAGAGCTGGTTCCTGCTCTGGAGAGGCTTCGTGAGCATCTTTAAAATCCTAACCAACTCTAGCATCTTACTAACACATCAACAGCTTCTTAAAGCACTCCTTTTCTTTCATTGTGTGTGTGGTGGGCGGGGGCGGGGGCGGAGGCGGAGGGGAAGGGGCAATGTTTGGAGGGAGGGAGCGCTTTAAATGTTTAGGCAGCAGGTCCTGTTAGGCATCCTATTGCGATCCGCAGGCTCTAAAATGCCAATAATTGTCAACCGGAGCGCTGAGGAAGAATTTGAAACAATAGATGGTCCCGGGTTCAGATGGGAGATCAAAGAGGAGATCCCAGCGGCTCTGAGATCCCACAGGGATCCTCCTCTGTGTTTCCAGGTCAGAATCACTTAGAAAAATGTGAGGGAGTCCAGGCTAATCAGCACATCGACGGAATGTGTAAATTAAGATGGCAAACTGGAATCCTGTATCCAGAGAGAGTTTAGGCTGGCTGTAACCCCCAATCGTGCCAGACTGTGATGTGGGCACACAGGGACAAATGACTTTCCCATTGCCTGAGGCAGGCTGGTCTAAATTAGAATCCAGGCACTTCTGCTGTATCCTGTGTTTCCATCACACACAATCTCCACATGTGAGCCTCAGTGCCTCTCCTCATCTAAAATGAACATTTTTTTGGATCCTAGGAAAAATAACTTTTACAAAAAACGTTGGAAAGAAATCCTTGCAGCGAGTGTAAATTCTTGTAAATGTGTAAAAGGAGAGTTGGAGATCAAAGTCTTTGTAAAATGTTGTAAAAATTGTAAATTGAATTTTGGGGACTAAAGTCTGTATAAAATGTCGAACAAATGTATGAATGAATCCTATTAAAATTCTTGCATGCTGTGAAATCCAAATTCCAGGTGAGTTTATGTTCTAGTAAGCACACATAACTAGTATTGATAAACCTCCATCCCTATGATGACTGTTGCTAAACAAGGCTACTGGCAGTGCTCTGCTTTTGAGGAGTTAGGGAAAACTGGATTGCAAGTTTGTGAAAAAGAATTGTAAATTTAATAGCCCAAGCAAATTAAGTGTTGGGCACCTTTAGGAAATCATACCCACAGTTAATGGAAACTTTTAAAATCCTACCTGCTTAAGAGTTTCCACAACACTTTATTCATATCTTTTATTATTGATCTAACTATGCGTTAGTAGAATGTGTCTGTGTGTCTGCCTTTATACCAGACTTGGATCACCTTTGTGGCAGAACATTCCAGAGCACATCTCCCGTAACCCCGGGTCCAGTTTTGTTTTGTTTTTTCCTTCCTTTGTTCACAACTAGAGAACACTTTCTAGCAGCACTGGGTCTAGGTGGGACTGTGGCGAGCTCTGCCACTTTCTGACCTGGCTATTAAACACTAAGTCACCATCTATCTTTGCTTTCTGTAGGCAAAGGACTTGGAGGTGGAAGGAGCCCAAACCTCTGAGTTACTGCTCAAGAGAGAGCTATTGCACCAGGAATGCCTGCGTGTAAGCTTGTGCAGCAAGAAATACACTTTTTTTGGTTCAAGACCACGGTGATTTGGGGATGTTTGCCACGCAGCTAGTTCAGCCTGTCCTGACAAGTACAATCCTCAAGACGGGGACAGCTGCCTCCTCTCATTATATTTCTAGAGCTGAGCACAGAGCCTTGCATGGAGCAGATGCTCAGTCCGCGTTTCTTTAATGGATGCAGCATGTGGTTTTTATACAGACCCTACTTAATGAATTAACGCCCCTTAGAGTGTTCCTACTATAAGTAGCTGATCTGTGAATATTAATTCTTCTGTCTTGATTATACTATTCTTTCACAAATTTTATCTTTTATTATTAGTCCTTTTCTTTTGCAGACAGGCTTGTTTGGAATAGCTGGTTAAAATAAGAAAAATTAAAAAGCCAGAACACCTATAGTTAATATAACTGAAGAGAATCTTGTAGTCTATTATGATCAGGATTTTATTGTTTTCACTCTTTGTCTCTCTCTATAGATATAGTTTTTTGTTTTTTTTTTCTTTTTTTTTACTAAAACTGTTAGAAGGTAGCAAAGGGTAGTTTTAGTATAGTCTTTTAAAATGTGTTTTTATTATTTAAAAATATATACAAAAGTAAAGAGGGTATAATAAATAACCCAACTTCAACAAACCTTGTGACCAAACCTCTACTCTCACTTTCGATTGTCAAATTATTTTGAGGCAAATCCATGACATCATATCATTTCACTGATACATAGTTCAATATATATCTCAAAAACATAAGGATTCAATTTTAAAAAAAGTTACACTCATGCATACTGTGTGTGAGGTGTAAATCAAATTTTTCGCAAAGTCAAAACCAGAGACTTTTCTGGGTGTAAAAATGATTAGCATTTAGGGATTGTGGTGGAGGCTGCTAGGTGTTCACTAAAACCTGTTTCCTCTTCTTCCTGGACACACGAGTTCACTATATTCCCCAATATCCTCTACAGTTAGATACAGCCATGTGACTGAATTCTGGCTAGTAGAACTCAGTCTGGTGGCTGGATATTTCTGTGCAGGGTGAGGGATGATCAGCCTGAATTCCGGGCACAGAGCCCTTACCCCATTCCAGCTCTGCCTAGAACACCTTAGCTAGGCTAGTGTGTAATTAGAAATAATCTTTTTGCTGTGCAGCAAAGTGATCCAGTTATACACATATATTCTTTTTTCATACTTTTCCCACTGTGATTCATTACAGGATATTGTAATAGTTCCCTGTGCTGTTCAGCAGGAACTTGTTAGTTATCTATTTTATATACGTTGTTGTTGTTCAGTTGTTCAGATGTGTTTGACTTTTTGAGACCCCATGGACTGCAGCATGCCAGGCTTCCCTGTCCACCATCTCCCAGAGTTTGCTCAAAATCATGTCCATTGAGTTGGTGGTACCATCCAACCATCTCATCCTCTGTCTGCCCCTTCTCCTGCCTTCAGTCTTTCTCAGCCTCAGGGTCTTTTCCAGTGAGTCAGCTCTTCACATCAGGCGGCCAAAGTATTGGAGCTTCAGCTTCAGCAACAGGGTTGATTTCCTTTAGGAATGACTTGTTTGATCTCCTTGCTGTCCAAGGGACTCTGAAGAGTCTTCTCCAGCATCATGGTTTAAACGCACCAGTTCTTCGGC